TATCACTTTAATAGAATAATATTTTGGATATTCACTGATTATAATTGCACTTATATAACATTTCCTACTGTTAAAGACTTTCATATTAACAATTTTATTTTATGAAGTTTACTATTTGAAATTTGTCGTCTAATATGTTAATAAGCACTGTAAAAATTTTTGGAAAAATGTCAAGCTCTGTTATATCATATTGCCAGCTTCTGAGCCAATGAATTTGTTTTCTGTTGGAAAGATTAATATCTGAATCACAAATTTTATATCAGACATATTTTTTTCAGAACAAATCTACGAAGAAAGAAAAGCCAAACAGTAAACACTTCCTTTTTAAAAGTTCTTGCACTGCTTCAACAATTTGAAAATTTTCTAATTCTCAATACTATAAAAATCATAATTAGACGTGTTTTTCCATTTCACTACTAATATAAAAAAAATTTAACGAAAACTAAGAAAATGATGTTACATCATGGTAAAGTTACAAAAACGTTTTTTTAGAAGTGTTTGCTTTTTGACATTTCCTCCTTCTTCAATTTATTCCTGAAAAATATGTCTAGTAGAAAATTTGTAGTTTAGATGTTACTCTTTCTAACAAAAAAAAATGTCATTGGTTTAGAAGTAGGCAATATGGTCTAACAGAGTGACATTTTTCCAAAGACTTCTGCACCGCTTATCAGTTGCATTTAGAAAAAAAATCTAGTATTCATTTTCAAAGTGAAATAGATGATATATGGACAATAGAAAACTTGTGGAATATTATTGGACATATAGTTTAAATAAATTTGAAGATGTCAAACAAAACATTATTAATATATGAGAAAATTTTAGTATAGAAAAAAACTTGAGAAAATGATTAAGAATATTTCAAAAAAAGTTGAAAACAAGATCAAAAGATTATAAAATTTGGTTATTAATATGATAAATTTATAAATCATTTAGATATTTTATTGAAAACTTTTTTTATAATTTTTGTCAAAAAATGTACGATGAAAATATTCACTCAACGTTAGAATAATAATAATAACGTTGTAATGTATTTATGCATTTCAAAGTATCTGTTTTTTCCAGATGATAACTATAATTTTCTTCTAAAAAAAATTGCATATTTCGATCAATTAACTATATTTTGATTTGTCATAGATATCATTAATTTATTGAGAGGTGTCAAAACTTTTCGACCGTCTTTTAGAAACATATAAGGAAGTTAAATTGATTTTAGAGTCTCAATTTAATATAAATACGTTATTTCTATCTTTGAATTGATTAGTCAAATTACTACGTAATTGATTCAGTAACTGAAAATTTCCTCAACCTTTTGCTTTTCAATTACCCACCATATACTAATTTGATGATTACACATGCTACTTTCGCATCTAGTTCTAGTATTCCAGTATTGTTGAAGTATAAATTTAAGTCAATAATTATCGAAATTATAATAAAGGATTGCAAGTGTATTTTTAATTTCTGAATTCCTGACATAAGATTTGTAATTATCAACGTTTCTTAATCATACCATACGATTGATGAAAGAAAGTGGCCCTTTTTCCATGAGTTATACCTCCCTTTTCCCTCGCCCCGTTTTTTTTTTTGCTTTTATTAAAGTAGTTTTGGTTGTGACAATTTCGATGTTTTCACAAAATGTCATCGTTTCAAGAACAAGGTCATCTTCAATTAAAATGTCCTCAAAATGACTACTATTTCTAGATTTTGGTTATCTGAGATAGTCTTTTATTGAAAACAAGTATGGTTTTCAGAATTAGCATAGAAAAAGACATTAATAACTCCATCTTTCACTGGAATAGGCTTCCAGTTAATTTTTATCTGTAGGATGGTACAGCCTAAAATTTAATGAATGAAAAGCTGATAAGAAGTAGAACGAAAATTTTAATTGAATATAGTTTATGATGATATGTAAAGTTACCGACGTTTTATGGCATGCTGATTCTGAACATCACGCTTGTTTCTAATAAAAACCAAATTTTTTGATAATCAAAATTTATTAATACTAGCCATTTTCAGGTATTTTACTTGGAAATGACTCTATTCTAAAAATAATGATTGTTTTTACTAATACTTAAAATTTCAAAGTTTGATTTAGAAGTTTTCATATTATAACAGCATCCACGATAAAAAAAACAATGAAACAAAAAAAAATTTATTGAGAATATATATACGATTTTCTTTAATTATATTTTGTGACTTCTTGATTTTTGTATAGACCTTCTTTTTTCAGAAGTTCGAACAATAATTATAGTTACCATTATTTTTTTCTGATTTTTTTAAAGCATTTTAATAGATTATATGAAACTATATTGATGATAAAAACTTCACTTTTAACAGTGCATGATAGTATACTCGTTAATAAAGTATATGTGTAAGATAATTTTATTTTTATTTTCTAGAAAAATCTTCCGTAAAGTTGAGACATAAGTCATAATACAGTACAATACAGAGGCCAATATTCGTTGAAAGTGATTCTTTTCATCAGCCTAAAAGTATCCAAATCCGGGTGGAGTGATCTCATATTCCCACGACAATCACTACAAAAAAAAAATAGCTTAACGAAAAAAATTAACGAAGAGGGGATAGAAGCGTCATTTCTTTAAGGTTTGATAATGTTCGAAAGACTTGAACAAGATTGTGATATTTTTTCTATATTAAGAACTATAAATAATTTTTAATAATAAATACATTTCATCGCTGCGTTATTGTCTCTCTTCTCTAGTTTAATGATTGTTGACACAATTCAAGTTTTATTTCCTTTGATTAAACAATCTTCGAACTCACATTCTAATCTAATGATTTGTCTAACGTAGGGGCAGTACCCTTCCGAGAATTGAATTTTTTCTTGCGAAGTTTATGGTTATTATATAACGTACTATGTGTCTATGATCTAAAAACTAATCATTTGACTTCCCGAATCTTTTAAATCCCCCGTCGAGAAGAGAAAATTTAGATAAAACACTGTTCTAATGACCAAATTCTATGTACAAGTGTAGAGATTGAGGCCTATTGAGTAAGATAAGATAGACTTTTACACAATTCTTAAGCAGAGTTTTCTTCAAAAGAAGTATCATCATGTTTTTATTGGATGAAAACTAAACGTTTATATTGATTGAAAATGTCTACACATATTGGCCACACCCACTTTCCTCTTTTACGCACTTCTCATACATCTCCACAGATATTTGATAAGAATATCTATCTGTCTTTCTAACTACTAGAAACAATTGTAGACTGCATGTATTGTTCTGCTTTTCTCAGTATTCTACACTTAGACTAAGAAAGATAAGAGACACTTAGACATCTCTACTATTTTTTTCATCGATACGAGATAGTATTATTAAATACTTGACCTTAGGAAGAAATATTCTTTAAGAGATATTAGCTATATTGATGATAAACATTTTTCTAATAGATTATTTTCAACCACAAGAGAAAAAAAAAGATATTCAATTTATTTTTAAAAACAAAAGAACAACATCTTACATGTTTACGGACGTACAATGTAAACAAATTCATTTTTTGACTTTATAATAAACAACATAATCAAGAGAATGTCTACAAAAAATTATTTTCTGTACTTGAATACGAAAATTTGGTGTTGATATATAATATATATAGAAACTTGATACTGGATTTGTATAAAATAAAATTGATGATATAACATGATAAAGAAAAAAATAAGATGATTTTAAAAAAATATTTCCAATAAATATAGCATTTAAACATTGTTCAATACAATATGGAATAGATGAAAGTATTATTGCAATAGATATTAATAAAAGCATACGAGATAATTGTTTATCTGTACTTATCCTTCCATGACGATGACAATGTCGTGTCTTTATAGTTCTTAATTGTTTAAATGTTAATATTCCAAATATGGAAAGAAAAGTAATTGGAATTATTCCATGAAGACATATTTGAATTGTATATAAATAATAATATAGATATATTCGTGAAAGAATCGCACACTGACCAGTATTTGACACATCATAGAATATAGCTATTGAGATACTATGAAATCCTATTAAACCAATAATAAATAAAATAATTAATATTGTTCGATGTCTTCGTGTACTTAATTCTCTAAAACGAACTTTTCTTGATGATATTAAATATCGATCAAATGTTGCCATACAAATACATGTTAATGATATTAGATCAAATGTATGTAAAACATAATATCTTAATTTACATAAAAAAAGTAAATTTGTTTTTGTTACTCGATATTGATAACCATCGAATAGAATACGCGTCAAAAGTGGATAAGCTATAACAACCAAATTTGCCAGTGAAGATGCAAGTAAATATAATGAACTATTATTTGTTCGAGCAATTTTGCAACGTTTATATGACATTTTTGGTGAACGACACCATATAGCGAATACGCAAATGCTTAAAATGTTTCCAATTGAGCCAAATATATACATTATAATACCAGCATATATGATGAATTGATGTGAACTTATATCTAATTGGTTCATTTTAATTATAGATATTATTTGCTAGGTTGTTTTCATATAAAAATATTGCAAAACGTTTTCATCATTGATATAGTATTGTCATCTAATCAAGAAAAAAAAAGTTCTTTTGTCAATCAATGCTTTTGGGAATAAAATTTTACCGAAAAATATTAGCGATAATGATGCGAGGCAAGAGAGAAATCAGTTTTTTTCATATATGATAGACTTACTAACTTTTTCTTCTTCATATAATATTAAAGTATGTCGTCAAAAGCTTATATCGCTTACGTTCTTCTTCGAGCTAAATCTTCTTAAATAAAAGAATAAACAAAAAAAAAAAAGTTTCGTAAATGGTCATAATATTATTCGAAATAGAAAAACAAAATCTTCCTAAATTAATATACACTTAACAAGATCATCAATCGTTAAGTATTCGAAGTGATTATAACTAGTGAGTCTTTCTTGTTTTGTTTTTTTGTCAAGTAGATCTTCACGGTTGATTTCATTTTTTAGATGAAGAAAAAAATCGAAGGATTTAACATGTTTTCATATAGAACTACTAGTTAATATATAACAGTCTTCGATGTATTTTCTCGTAAATAGAACATAACCTTATCCGAAAGTGGATTGACATTTTCTCGTAAGAATACGAATGAGAATGCTGTTTGCGATTAAGACAGTATTTTATTTATTTTATGGATAACTGCTTTCTTTTGTAAAAATTCTTTCTTAAGTATCCGACTTTCTAAGTGAGCAATGTGTGTCAGGTGCGAACTTTTTACACAAAAAATTCTAGAAATGTAAAGAATAGCGCAGTTCCTTTCACTATACTAGTAGTTTTCTTACAACTAAACTAAAGGAAGATTACTGACAACATGTAATGAGTCTATATAGTTTACAGGCATAAAGAAATTATTGATGTGTTATCTTTTCATATAAATGACATTGTAATGTTCGTTTTTTTTTTGAAAGATTGAGCATTAACAAAATGCTTTAGAGCCATTTTGTTGTATTTTTCTAGCTTTTCAGTAAATACTGACAAAAATAAATTCTAATTATCTTCGTAGAAGATATTGAATTTCATGATTTATGTAACGAGAAAATATGTCTACTTATCGAGCACTGTTTGATCTTATATTTTAGGCATCAATAAGCTTCAAGAAGACTTCGAAAACAAAAAAAAAAGATTTATAGCCACAATTTATTGATACATATTTATGAATGACTTACTGAATATTTTTTCTCAAAAGACTCCGTGACTGCTGTCTCCGAACAAATGCTCCTGAGATATTTTCTTGACAACAAAAATCTGTCAGAATTCTTAGTAATAGAAGATCAATTAGAAACATATTGGCATTACTTATAGATATCATCCTTGTTCTTACGTTTTTCTTTGCTCTCATTTTTTTCCTTAATTCTATCGATGGGATGAGAGCATCTGTCTGGGTCACAACATCCATGTTACTCTCTTCAAACCAAACATTACGAATAAATCTAAATAAAATATTCGAGTCGAATTAGAGATCTGATAATTATTAAAATAATTTCGAAGTTTCAAATAGATTTGATGATAGCATGGCTTATATATTAATAAGTTATATCTTGAAAATTGGTGTCGTTGTTTCGACGAAAAAAGATTAATCTATACGCCAAAATTCTTTATTTCGATATTTCGAAGAGATCATCTTTTTAGGTTTGTCTTGATTTTCTAAGTTTTAATCATCATCAAGGTATTGCATCACATGATATTCAACAGTTGAAGATGTTCTCTCATTAGTTTATGCCATTTTTTATCAATATTATTACAACTTTATCGTCAATAATTAGCTATATTGAAGTTGGTATTATTTAAAAAAAGAAACTTTTTATTTCTTAATTATATCTGAAATAGATAATAGTAGATATTTAATTGTGAGAATTGAACAAAATGCATGGATAATATGAAGTTAGAATGGTGTGTTTCCAGTATAATTATATAAAACATAGAAATACGAGTAAAAAATTGTTATGAACAATGTAAAGTATCTAATCTGATCAATAAAAAGTTTAAATATTTTAGCAATTATGCAATTATATAATTTCTATTTTTAATGTGTCGATAACAAATGTTAAGTCTTATTAACTTGACAGTATCGTTTTATTTATACTTCAATACATCTAGTGATGTAAGCAAGACATGGTTAAATTGAACAACATCCAACCATTGGAGCTGTTGGCTTCAATATTTAGCCACTTATAAAAAGAACAATTTATTTTATGAAGATAAAAGCAAAATGATCGTAAATCATTTGCGTTCAGTCATAATCTCGACTTGATCGATAAATCGATTAAATATTCTATAATTCATTTCGAAAAACAATAAAATTTGTTGTATTATCACTAACTGGTAGATTGTCGCTTTACTTGTAAATTATATCTTTAATGATGTATGTTAGTGCTATGACGTAAAAATATTTTTACGAAGCTGAATCTATAAGATTAATATTTGTACTAAAACTCAACTAGATGATAATGTAAATCTTTTATGATTTTATATACACTTTCTGAAACCAGTAGGGCAACGCTCAATAGCCTAAACATTTTTTTGTTACGCCACTACTATATAGAAATGGGATCAGTTCGTGTTTTTCTTGATCTAGATCGAACCAAATCGATCTCTGCTATCTTAGATTATCATTGTCATCCCTGAATGATTCTATAGTTATAGTAGGATTATCATCATAGAAAAAACAATTGTAAAATTTAAAAATGGTATCATGATTGATTATTGAAAAAGCGTGCTTGAATCTACCGAATGTCAAACTTACGATAGAAATTGAAATAATTTCTGTTTTCAACAATAGTCTTCCTATAACAAATAAGAATTCGTTTTTTTTTCTGGCTAGATCATTTCTCTACACAATATTATATATATATATATATTCATTACATGAAAGTATATAGACATGTTTGCTTATTTCATTGATTTTGCCAGGATTTTCATAAAAGTTGATTTATAGCTGCATATGATTTCTTTTTTGAAAGATATTTATATCTTATACTAAATTCTTTATAAGATGATTGACTTTGAAATGCCATAAGTAAATTAGTAAGTTATTTCTTTTAATCAGATTATATGCTTGAGAAAAATAAAGCTATCGTTTTTCTTTCGGAATGATTATATTTTCTACATCATAAAAAACTAATTTTATCGAAGAAGAAATCTTAAGTCAAGATTGATTGTAATCTTAGAAAATCTTATTTTTGAAGCATGTCTTATTAATAACTATATAATAATAACAATAATAAATGTATTTTACTGTCATATAAAAGATTTCATATTGTTTAATCCATCAGATATAAAATATAATAAAGTAATATTTATGTATATTAGTATTTAATGAAGTTCTTGACAATGTTAAGAATAGATTAGATTTTTCTCAAGACATGAATAATTGAAAATTTTTTTATTTCTAAAGAAATGATTTTTACAACGAAAAACAAAAACAATGAAGCGAGCTTTATGATACTTTGAAAATTAAGATTTGAAAAATTTATTCTTTTCAGTGTCATGACTATTTTTTAGTTGTTTCTATGTGATCGAAAAAGTTCTTGCTTTCTTCTCATTTAAATAAAAAATTTTATTTTTTGAAAGTAAAAGTTGCTTAGTCACGTTTTTCTTTATATAATGGCATCTAACAATAAAGAGTCGAAGTATGATAATGGTGTTTATTTAAATTTCATCTATCGTATAAAAAAAAAGAAGAGGAGTCGAACTAAGATTTATTTTTATTTTTAAATTAAAACTATTTTAATTAGGCAATAAAATAGAATATTATTCGTTATATTTTAAATGAAAATTGATATTCTATAGTAGAATAAGAGAAACATCCTATTATTTTCCAGATTGATACCTTATTCTTTTTTNCTATTATATGGCCCAGACAATAGTAGGTTTTATCCGTACAATAGGACTGTATCAAAACGGGGTACCAGTCACATTGACTACCCCCATATATATTAAATTATATAAATGTTGAGAATCGTTCAAAATACAACAATAACCATGATTATCATAGTACCTGTTAAAATTAATTTACTTAGCTAGAACAATGCAAAACGCTTCGGATCTATCGTTTTTGATAGAAGTCAAAATGGCTAAACATGAATCAATGTGTGTTATGAGAAGAAAAGTAACAAAACATGGATGCGTGTAGCATATAATATGTGCTTGTATTGAATATTTCTTTTGACTGAAAGATTTTATATTGATAATGTTTTTTTTTATATTGATTTACTTATTCACACAAGATTAATCTATATTTTTATATGAAATAAGTACATAAGATATAAACTATTTTTAAATTGTTCTCTTATCCACAAAACTTTTTCTTACTTCGCGTAATGTTACTTGTTCAAAAGAATCTTTTGTGTAGCCTCTTCTATAAATTCGAGATATGAAATACATTCTGTTTGCTTTTTAATTTTTTTTAGAATTAATCTAACTAAAGAAAAAGTATACAAAGTAAAACACGTTTTAAATACATCACAAGACAAAGCATAAACTTATAAGAAATTCGATACCTTGCTGTGAGGTGTATTGCCTAGCAGTAGATTGAATAGGTCGATACCTTCTCTACAACTAATGCTTGTTGTACCTCTGTGTACAGAAGGCTTGCGCTTTCCATAAACATTAACTAATTATAAGAGCACATGTATGTCATAACGCAATCAGCATGTTATAGGACGTGATCAGAGACAAACAGCTGTTAGTGACTTACCTAGGATCATTTTATGACTGATAGTGCGAAGGTTTGAACACAATGCCTTTTGAATACATGTCAGACTGCGTAGCCACTCAACCATGGCGGCCTGCCCTTAGAGAATTGCTCAGAAAGTATTTCAAATGATAATAAAGTATTGAACCGAAACTATGTTTCCGATGACGGTCCTTTGTATGGACTATTTAATTGATTTATTTTGATACACAAATAATGATAATTAAATTCGTTTTAAATATGCAAATTAGATCATCTTGAGCATTCTTGATATAATCAAGTTTTTATAAATATTGAAGAAATATATAAAAATATGATGAATTTCACAGTGACAATGGAATAAGATACAGTAGACAAATTTTCTATGGACATCAGACATGACCGAAAATATTGTTCCTATTCTGACATATCTATATGTCTTCATATTATTGTTTGTGTTCTTTTCAATATTGCTTCAGTTTTCTCTATAGACTTCTCTACTCATATAGATCTATAGCTTGATCAACAAACATTTAAAGTAATTTTTCAAATCTCCATCATCACCACAATTCTCTAGTACTTATGAAAATTCTTACTCATGTACTAACGATTGTCGTATTTTCTGTGATATTTCTCGATTGGTGACTCTTAGTCATTCCCAAAATTTCCTGATGATTTCGCTTGCTGAGGCTAGAATTTAGAGGAATTACTTAGAAGTTTGCTTGTCGCTTAAGAATAATTATCGAAATATTGTGAAAATTTTCAATTCATCTCTATATTTTGATTAACGGTACTTCCAAACGCTGTCTTGAAAAATTAAGTAATTTTCAAAAGTGCACCATATGTGTTTTCAATGTGAGAAGTTTTTCAAAATTTAATCATTTATAAAAGAAATTTTCTTTTTCGTAAACCTGGATATTGTTACGTTTATTTAATCTATTTAATTAAGTTGTTTATATTTTCAGTGTAGAACTTTTTTTTTAATTATTATCAAGATGAAGCGTACTCTTTGTTATGTTCGGTTTTTTTTTTCATTCCAAATAAAATATAATTTAATATGAACATGGATTAAAGAACCATAAATATATTTTTTTCATAGAGGTAATTGATTTTAAATCTAGTTATTTATTTTTTCTAAGGAGAGTCTAATGAAAAATTCGATTAAACTAAATCTGAATCAAAAATGTGATCATTGCTTCCGGCTCCAAGAAAACACGAAGCGACGTCATCTCTAATGTCAAGAAACTCTGCAAAATGCATCAATTACTTTCTCAAAAAACAAAAAAACATTTGCTCTCAGTGTTTCTTTTGAAAGATTCCAGATTTTTTTTAGAAAAATTTTCGAACAGTTAGTGTCTGACACATACAATGTCATTCTATCGTCCGTTCGAATCAATTTTTAGCTATTACTTAGCATGCGAATTCGAAAAAATTCAGGTAAAATATAAGATAGTTTTTCTAGAACAAAGTTATTATATCAATCTCAAACTATTTTTGTCTACAATCTCTTCTAAATTCAAATTGATTCGATCCTTAAAAATAAAATATACCAAGTAAAATTAGATAGAAAAGTAATTTTCTTAATCATCTATAATCGTAACATTATTTTGTTTAAGTAGCTTACACAATCAATATTTCAGTAGAACAATCAAGCATAGTGCCGAGATGAAAATAGATTGTAATCTATACAAATGTTCATTGGTTAAAACTTTTTGGAGAATTGTCCAAAAAAAAAAATCAAAATATTTATTAATGTGGTTTTTAAATGTTTAATACATCGAAAATTTTCTCTTTAACAGTAATTGACGTCAGATTTTACTATTTAGATTTAAAATATAATTGTTCATCGTAATTTTAAATTTAGATAAATATGTTACTACACAACATTAACAACAAAAATAAATATACTACAATAGTTTTAAGACTATCCTTAAAATATTTGAGAAAATTTTTTTTCTTCATAACATGACAATTAGAATAAAAGTTGAATTATTAGAACATATATTTTTCAATGGTTTACTGTTTAATAATCAATAAATATTGTATATGTATTATTTATCTGTTCATGTTAGTTTTATTTTGACAACGATTTTTCATTGATACGATGGAAAATAATTAATATACTTTTGATTAGACTATTAAATCGTCGAACAGCTTCAGTAAAACCATATTGATTAATAAAATATTTCCACAATATAGTGACATGTATATGTTGACTTTGAATGAAATCAAGTGAATTTGACATTGTTTCGATATTTTTCTTCTCATCAAAAGTAACAATTGAAAAATTATTTGAAAAATTTAAAACAAATGTCATAAGTTCAACAAATGATAAATTTGCTTCCAATTCTTTACATATTGACATAATCTCAGTAACATAAGTAGATCCGTACAATTCATTGCTAGTAGTAAACAAAATTGAATCACTATATAAATTTGTTTCATGATTAGTGAAAAAGCCGTGTACATTATCAACACTTGAGAAATTATGCTTAATTTTTGCTTGACAAATATCCATGAAGAATTGTTGTAATTGAAATGAATGTTGAGTATTCGATTGACTATTTTGAACAGATGAATTGATCATATTTAAGACATTTGTTGATTTAAAACGTAATTTAGGTGGTAACGATGATTGTTTATTAAATATAGATTTTCCATTAAAGATTGGATTTATTTGATTATATTGATGAATTAAATTTGCAAAGATTGTCCATTGTTTACATGTCAAATTTGAACCATTATTTTCAGAAAAATTTAGTAATTTAGACTGTAAAATAAATTCAAAGATAATATTCAAAAAGAACTAAATTGATGATTTACTTACTGTTGATAATGATTTTTTATTTTTATCTCTGCTTGATAATTGATGATCATTGTTAAAAACAATTTCATGTTGATAAGCAGACCGAATTAAGTTTGGATTCATACCAACTGCAAAACATTTCTTCAAACGACAAGGTGGACATTTAATACGTGTTTTTTGTGTTATAATACAGTTATAGTGATTGTGACAGTGTAATACTCCCTATTCGAATTATACATTAAAGAACGTATTTTTATAGAGAAAATAACTTACCCATGACTGAAATGCGTTTCTTCGAAAAAATGATTTACATGACATACATGTAATAACTTGAAAATTATTACCTCGTGCAATATCTCCACATACTCGGCAGATCAAAGATCTATAAGATGAATGTTTAACACATTCTTTGTTAGATTTGGTCATTATAGAAAGTGTTCTTTGTAATGTTATAGAAGGTTTCTTAGTAGTTTTGCTCTGCAACTCTCTCTCTATATATATATATTAAATAGCTATCTGGAAATTATTTAAAGATGAAAAAAAAAAAAAAAAAAAAAAAAAGAAGAAATTACTCTACTTTTTTGATTGAAGAAAAGTATAATTTGCTCGTTATTTTGTTGATCATCTAATTTTAGAAAAGTGAATAATAATTGAGAACGACGAAATGCAATAGAATCGCTTTCCATTATTCGGTTGACTAAATCTAGTGAAATAGGCCAACATTTGATTCTAGAATAGACCAAGTATGAAATGAATAAAACAAAAGATTTCTTCACTCACAAAATAGATTTGTAACCAAAAATTTGGAAATATGATATATACATTGGAAATTATCTATTTTTGAAATTTCATCTTTGTTCATAATAAAATATGAATTCATCATAATAGTGATCATCGGAAGTACTTCCATTATATAGAATATTACTTTTATTTATTTGACATTTTTTAAAGATCAGAAAGTCCATTTAACTTGAGAATAATTATTTCAATTAAAAATTTATTCAATCATATTTAAAGTATTTTTTATCTTGAAAATTCTCTTACTGTATATCAATTTCATCTTGATAATAAAATTAAAGTGACGAAATAAAACTCATTTTATGTATATTTATTATTGTAAAAATTCTCAATTCATGGGAATAAATGTCTCATATGTTTTTTTCAAGAATATTAATAAATAACAAGTTGTAAGTTTTCTCTACATCATTCATCGTATAGCATCTTAATATTTCAATAAAATCAAGTCTATTAAATACAAATCGTTCTAAGTAAATATAGAAAGTGAATATTACTATTTTTTCTTTTCTGTTTTATTCTTTAACGAGGCAAGAAAAGTACTTTTTTTTTTATAAAAAGTACGAAAAAGCTCTTTTGTTTTACCAAAAAATATATTTTCTGTGCTTTCAATATTACATTTAACAGTTTAACAATTATCAATAAAATGAAAATGTCATGCATATTATTAAGAATGTTTTACTTGTATGTTATTTTGATCTCTCAATATACATTGCACGTTTTTAATGTCAGAAAAATGGTTAAACTATATATCGAGTATATCTAAATAAATCTTATTTATTCATGTTTTTTTTACAGTTAAATTAAATTTGAATAATAAAAAAAGCCTATAGAAAATAATATTAGAAAGAAAAAAATGATGCATGACATAATGGTTGTAATATGATACGAAAAAAACAACATCTAGAAATTTAATTCTAATTCCATGAAATAATAGGTAAATATACATATATATGATTTATTAATCGTATTCAAAAATATAGAAACTCTTACAAACAAAACACAATAACTTATTAATATTTATCATTGAAATTCAAGTATTCAAATGTTTCAATGATCGTTTAATACTTTTACTAAAAATAAAAAGTTTTTTTTAGTATATTCAATGTAAAATTTATGCTCGAATAAAGAAAAGTTATTCACGTTTGAATACTTCTTCATTAGTGGCGTAATCAGAAAAGAGTTGTGGGGGAGGATCAACCATCTAATTAAATCTGTTGAAAAGGAAAAACCTATAGTAACGCTCCTAGAGGAGGCTCAAGCTTCTTCGTAAATAAAACTCAACCGTTAGTGAAAGAACTGTGCTCACTCTAGCATTCGTTTGATTAAGCCATTATTCTTCATATCGATCGGTTTATAAATTCAATTACAGAAACGAATACAAAGCGTGTTGAAATGAAGTTAGAAACAAAACAACTTGATTACATTTATTGATTGCAGGGTTTTATTCAGATTTTATCTTCCGGATGAGCGAGCATTAAGTTTAGCGAGCACAGACACACAGTACATAACATAAAAACAGTAAACTTCGAAAGAGTCAAACCGACTTTCAGAGAGCCACCGCTTCTTTGACCTCCACACGGTATAAAGTGTTGATTTATATATCTTGGATAAACTATTTGTTACGATACTGTTATCGTGAATAACTGAAAAAAAAATATTTTGACTAGACTATTAATATAAATTCTTATTCAGTACAAAGAGAAATATAATATTTTAAAATATTTTTTAAAATTCACATTACGAATAGGAAAAGTTTACAATACATGATAAACAATATTTCATAAACGTATTTACTAAGTCATTTAAAATTCAATAATATATTCTTATAATCGAATGAATTTTCATTAAATTATCCATTAAAATTTATTGAAATTTAACATGAAATTGTTAATATTTTTTTAACTAACAAAATATTTGATAATTAAATTTTCTATAACAATCAAAATTAATATTTTTCATTTGTTTTTAATTAATAGATAAAAATAAAGTTGTTATATTATTCATTTATCAGAAAATATATTTCAATATTAAATAAATTATTTAATAAATTGACTATTGATCACAAATAAATATATAGTATTCATATTTATTCTTTTTGTTCTTTAATCCAACATGATTTTAATTGATTAGATCTAACATCAATTTCCCCAAGTTCAAGTGGATCTTTTTCATAAATATCTTTGTAACATAAATATGATATACATCGACGTACACAATTAATCATATCTATTTCAGCTAATTCTTTTTGTTGTTGCTCTAATGCATTATCAGATTTTAATGATATTGTTGGTAAATATTTTTGACATGAATCTTTTTGTTCGCATTGTCGAGTTAAACGACGAAATGTTTCATCTAATTGACGACGACGTGGAGCTGACATAGACGAACTTTTTTTATTATTCATTGATGAATATGTTACGTCAATGAATAAAACAATGTATAATAAACAAACAAATCGAATAATCATCTAAACAGACTGAAATTAGAGAAAATACGAAACATCAAATAATACGCAAATATATTTTAAGATTTTTTTTTAAAAAGACAAAAGAAAAAAAAGAAAGAGAGAGAGAGAGAGAGAGAGAAGAAAAAGCAATAAAAGAAAATGGCACGTAAAAGAGAAGAGAAAAAAAGACATGCAAATCTTAATAGTTTTTTGTGTTTAAAGAAAGAACATAAACGAACGATTGACAACGAAAGGAGAAAAAACATAGAGACAAAGAAAATGTTGGTTTTTTTTCGCTCAACTATTGATAGATCTATTTATATATATTTAATATTGTTCGTTGTTTTTTAAACAGCCAAATTAATAAAAGAATTATATTGTGCAACATTACGCTTAAGAATATCCGATATAGGTCCAAGTACACGTTCAAATCGTCCACGATCCATTTTAACACATTTTAATGGACCTTTGGCTTTGACTGTTGCTGCACGAGGTCGATCAAATAATAAAGCTATTTCACCAAAGTAATCCGATGGGCCTAATTTTGATACTTCAACAGCTGGTTCTTCATCAGATGGTTTTTGATAGACGATAGCAGTACCTAAATAAAAATCATTTGTTTTTAATGAATTATAAAAATAAACAAACAAAGAAAATTCATATTTTGTTTTTAATATACCTTCGACAATAATAAAGAAGTCATTTCCTTTTTCACCTTGTACAACAATATTATCACCATCGTTAAATAGTACAGGCTCAAGAGCATCAGCAACAGTTAAACGTTCCCATTGATCAAGTTCTTGAAGAATTTTAACTTTCGATAAAAATTCTTCATACATCTTACGTTTCTTAATTGTTGAACCCATTAAAATGCGTCGATAAGTCTAGAGGGAAAAAAAAACAAGAAAATTTGTCTTATAAACTTTTGTTTTTGATTAGAAAAAGAACAAAAAAATATGTACTTTTCTATCAATAGCCCATAATTTACACTCAGTTTTAGCTTTAATTGTTGCTGCACGTGGTGTACCATAAATAAGTGCTAATTCACCAAAACTTCCACCATCTGATATAGCTGTGACACATTTATTATTAACATAAACTTCAACTTCACCTTGATCAATAATATAAAAGAAATCTCCTTCTTCACCTTGTTGAATTATTGTTTCTTCAGCTTTATAATTAAATGGTTGCATGGCATCAAATATATCCGATTTTTCACTATCATCCAAATGTGAAAATAATAAATTCGATTGTATAGCTTTACTTAATGCTTGCATTGTTGCATAATCTTTAGGTATAACAGTTTTAACATATGACGTTGCATCTTCTTCTTTATAGGGTTCAGCTGATACTGCACCACGACGTTCGCGTGTTTTAACAGAAGTATTTGTTGTTATTTGATTTTGATGACTACTAGTACTGCCACCAGTTGCTTCATTTAAATCGGCAAGATCATCATTTTCTCCAGCAACACTACCATTTGTTGATTGTTGTTTACTTGTTGGTTCAGTTGGGGATGCTGTTTGTTGTTGACGCATTGTTGATTTTTTAGTTGTTGATGATGATGCTGATTGATTACCAAGTTTATCAAAATAATCAGCAAGAAATTGTATTGGATTTGTTGGTTTTTTTAAACATAATTGAACAATACAGTCACGTAATAAATTTTGTATATCATGTTTTGCAATATAAGCTTCACAATCGCGGACTGTCTGTTCGGACGACGATGCATTGTCGACCATGATTATTTATTTCTTTAGATGTGATGATCGATGGAAGCCTGAAACATATATATATATATGTCAACATTAAGAGAGAAAACTAACAGTAAAAGAGAAAACGCAATTGAATTGTAGTATGCCGAACGATAGTGGCAACCGTCGGCATAGAACAGAACACAATAAAAAAAAAATGTTCTCTTCTCGACAGTGTGCGTGTGTATGTGTGTGAAACAGAGATAGAATCAATCAAGGTCGAACCAGAGAAAAAAAGCGCAAAAAAAGTCATATCCACCATCATTGTAACTGCAACTAGTGCTTCAAGCAATGTAATTCAGTAATGAAAGACACAACAGCGTATGAGAATATAGAGATATAGAAATATTCAGAGTAACTATCACTCTCTTTTCTTCTTCTCATTTTGTTGTTGTCGTTTTTGATGGTGATAGTGTCATTGCTCTCATCCCCACGAGTCTTATGTATATATATATATAAAGGGACTTTCATATGAGCGTGACGAAAGAGAATGATAAAATAATAAATGACTTTTATAGACAAAAATGAATGTAACGGACAAAAGACAATAAAACGATTTGAAAATAAAAAAAAAGAAAACGAAAAAGAAAGAAGAAAGAGAAAAGCAAGAGAAAAAAATGTATGGATAAATACCAATTTCAATTTTTACTTAGTTTATGACTGAATAGCAACTAGACATGTTCTGTCCTCTCGTAATCGACATAAGTGCCATTCTCCCTTGCTCTCTAACTCCTCTCATCCTATGTTTTTTTTTTTCGTTTCCTTTCTCGATTTTGTTGTAGCAAAATAGGAATTGTGGTTTTATCGATATATATATATGACATTTACTAAGTGACAAGTATCTCTTTAAAATAAACAATAAAAAACAAGAAATGATGCCGACAAAAACTAATGTAACTATTCAAAATAAAATCTAATAGAAAAGAAAAAATTCTATCTTTATTATACGACTATCAAAAAAATTCATCTTCACCGATAAAAATCGATTATTCATGTTAATATTTTATATATTAATTATTAAAAAAAGAAACTCACAAATAGATAAAAATTTTCATTAATCTAAATGATTTGTTTTTTTTTTTGTTTATTTAATCTTTGTCAAAAAAATAAATATATTTCTTATCCATATTCTAAACATATCATATTATATTTTTCTTTTCGTCATATTTCTTCAAAACAACAGGCTCTTCTAACCATCTATCATGAATTCAAAGTACGTACTAAAGAACATAACAACAGCTGTGTCATAAACCATAAAAAGAAAATAAGAATCGTATAGAAATATTGCCTCTCAATTGAAATAGAAAAAGAAAAAGTAATAAAAATGTTGATTAAATTATCTCATCCTTATGAAAGCGACACACATGGCCCTTATATAGTCTTGATGTATATAAAACATACATCGAATACCTATCGAGGCATGACTAGGAAAATGGCTGTATAATCTGTTTTTTTCATCTTACTCTTCACCTGTCTACATACAAGTATATATATATACATTACGCTCGATTTAATATATCACTTCGGGTGATTACGGGTTTTTTTCTTCTTAGAATGAGAAGAAATGTGCATATGATAAAAGTGAGTGACAGGAGGTATGCTTTATACTGCCAATCTTAATTTCATTAGTAAAACTCACACTAAAAACAAAAATTTCATCAACCTATTAACGTCTTTCGCAGTGCTATTTTTTATGTGTTACTTACGACATATTGTTAATGACGATGGTTTAGAATTGAAAGGATGGTAAGTTGCATGAATAAATGGATGAAAAAAAGAACCGCAAATCTTGTTTGTTGTCGCCTTATATATATATCTTGTCTATGTGAAAAAAGCAAAATCACTCACGTCATATACATACAATGCAGAAACGCCGCGAGAAAAGAAAAAAAAAAGGAAAAAAAGAAGACGAAGAATATTAGTATAGTGAGTGAGAGTCCCTTGATAGAAACAAACATGAATGACTGTTAGCAATTATTCTTTTTTGTTGCTATATTGTCGGTTTTTTTAACGATCTCGTGTTTTTGCTTGATCGCTTATAGTCTCGTTTCTAAATTGAGACGAAAGCAAATTATCATTAGAAAAATAACAATAATGATCAGACAATAACGGAAAAAAAAGGCCTTGCTCCGTCTTTTTTCCGACATGTCTATTTTCTATTCATGTTTCTTATCATATATAATCAGTAATAGCTTGCAAATAACGACATAAGACAACAACAACAACAACACCAAAGAAACACATTCTCAATCAGTTGTTTTTTTTTTCAGAATAAAAAAAATTTACGACGAGAAAATCGCTTTTAGTTTCGACGAAAAAAAAGACAATTGAATCATTTCAGAGTTCGCTATCTTAAATATGAATATAGTTATATAATTTGATGCTATATAAATGAGTATTCTCATCCTTTATTTATTATCCACATCATGCACTGCATTCTTTAGTAACTATTTTGCATGAGAAAGTGTATTCAGCTTTTCTTTCAGTTTTTCCTAATGTAGCTGATCTCATTGTCTATTCATGTCGATTCTTTACAGAACAAAAATGATGTGAAAACATGTTAAATTATTAGTTCAGACATAATTAGGTCGTCAAGAAAAATTTTTCATTTTACTTATAGTAATACTCGAAAAAAAAATTTTGTTTTTTTTTCTTACCAAAAAAAGCAAAACGAAGTCGATCAAGCTTTGAAACTATCTAGAAATATTGAAAAAATACATATGTATATTTATATATAGAAAATCCTATTGAGCTAATTCAAGAATAATAAATAAAACTGCAAATGGCTTTTTTTTTCGTATTCATAATAAAGGTGATAGCCTAAATCTTAGTTCGGTAATTGACAAATGGGAAAAAAAGAATGGCTACTACGAACATCAACAAGCACCAGTTGGGGGCTGTATCCATTTACTTGTTCTTTCTATTCTATTTTTTTCTTTTTTTTTTTTCTTTAGCTTGGCAAAATTCTTCTTCATTCCTCGTTCTGCTAGCGATGTTAGTTCTGCTTGCTTCTTGCAAGACGAAGACCAATAAAGCAAGGAAATCTATTAGCATAAATCAGGAAGAAAAACTTGGAGAACAGGAAAAAAAAGAAAAAGCTTCTCTGAATTCTTTATTCTTGTGTGGTTTTTCTTTTCCTATTTTTTTTTCTTTTTACTTCAGAGGAGAAAAGAACGAGACCCTTGGACGTAGACAAGTCAGTACCATTTATTCACATAGACTGAGGTGACAACCCAAAACTTTGTCGTAATTTCATCTTCATATAGATATAGAAAAGAACTAAATAGTATGTCAATTATAGACACCAAGGCTAAACCAAAAGAAAAAATATGCCTAATCGAAATAGAAAAAAATCTTTCATTTATTTCCTTTTCATTATCAAATAAATGACGCATGATTTTTTATATTAGAAATTTTTTAGAATTTACGTTCAAAATAACAAGAATGAAATATAATCTTCATATCATTCAGCTTTCAAGTTAAATAAGTTTTTCAATTACTACAAAAACATCGGACGTAGGGGATTAAGGATATTTAATAAAAGGAGACAACATTTATTACATTATTCTTTCAATGTTTTTTTTTGTCTTCTATCTTGACATATATCTATCAAACTTCATTTTCCCGACGCTTTTATTTATTTATTTTCAGAGGCCAAAACATTTCCATCTATAAAATATTCAATTAACAAATATCATTCAAATGCACTAAACAAAAAAAAGAAAAAGAAACTTAAGCTTGGCTTAAATTAATACAAAAGAATGTTATTCTATTATTCAAATATTGTTTTGGCCTCTATTGACACTCATAAGATATAAAATAAAAATATGATTATTAGTCGAAAGCAAAATGATACTTAAGATAATCATCATTTAGAACGAAGAAATACTGTTGACAGAATAACAGATCAAGATCAATGAGAACATCTAAAAAGAAAAAAGAAACAAATAAACAAACAAATTGTTCATTTTAATAATAAAATATCCGAAATGAATTGATTAGCCTAAGGACAAAAACATATTTTCTACTTGAATTATGAAAGTATTGAATGATATACGTCTTCTATTCGATAAACTTGATGGAGAGAAAAAAATAACCTTCATCATTTTGACTAATGTCTTAGTTAATGGAAGATAAGCAAAAAAACAAAGGAAGAAGACGCTATAAAATAGAGTTGATTATCTTTTCAGATACTACAGGACGTATTTAGATATAAAAAAAAAAGAAAAAATAATGAGCATGCTGTGTTAAAGAAATCAAGACCAATGTCATTTCTAAACAATAGATCTACTTCATACTTCCTGAGCATACCCACTAAAATAAGCTTTTATTTTCTTCCTACACTCCGGTGTATTGAAAAAAAAAAGGAAAACTAATTTCTCTGGGAGCTCTAGGTAATATATTATACTTCTTTAAAACAACTTAACTAATAATTTTCTTTATTTTTTTCTCAATTGAAATGACTAGTTGACTAGACGATTTCTTTCTTAGTTGCTCGTTAAAAAGAGAATACTACTGACAAATAATTTTGAATAGTTTCCTTTGGGAAATACTTAATCGAAAAACACGTATATAGTTATTGACAGTTGAACTCAATGTGAATAGACGAACAGATAGTTCAATTTTCTCTCTAATAAAAGAAAAGAAAAGAAACAACGACATTATTCGAAATTATTCTTTTTTTTTTTGTTGTTGAATAACAAAAACAAAAACAAAACAAAAAAAAAAAGAGATAACAATCAATCATAACAAAATAATAAACAACATCACTGGTTACTGTTGTTATTAGTTGTAGTTAGTTCAAGAAATTGTCTTAAGACATCAATTAATGCACGAGGTAACATTTCTAAATTTTGTATTACTAAATAATACGGAAATGGAAAACTATCCAAATATGAACGAAATTCGACCTAGAAAAAAGAAAACAAAAATTATATAATTTTTTTTTTGTTTGTTTTTTTTTAATCCGTTTTTTTTTTTTTATTTATTAATTTATTTACTTTATCACCAACAAATATAGCTTCATTGATTTGAAAGATTGATGATGATTTTTCATGATTTATATTATCAAGAATAACAAAAACAACAAAAATATTTTGTGACATTGCATGACGAACACTCTTTAATAAACGATCTTTACCAGATACAGTTAAACCACGACCATCGGATAAAATTATTAATAATTGCGATAAAGGATTTGAAGTTTGGACTTTCTCTTTACTAAATGTATATGTTACTGACTCCATCAGCTAAAAAAAAGAACCGAGTAGAGAAATAATAATAATTTTAAAAAAGGAAGGAAAGAATAATAAAGTTAACATAAAATTTTCATAAAATCTTAGACGATTATAAAGATAATAAACTGCTCAAGGATTTCCTATTTGTTTTCATCAACTCTTGAGGGATTCATTATCTTTATAACTGTGCAAGGCTTTTTTTTGATGTAAAAGAAAGATATAATAAAACTTTTTAGAATTCATGAAAATTTGATGTAGGGTTTTATATTCAATACTTTGTTCCCACTATTATGTTATGGTTTCGGAAATGTAAAAATTAAAACGGAAGTTTTCTTTTCATGTCTTTATATATGAGTAGAGATAGAACTTAACGGGTTGATAAAGAACATTGGTATGTTCTTTTTTTTCGAATGAACTTTTAGAGAAAAATTATCAGATGATCTACTCTTTATGAAAAAACTGGTCAATATTCGAGAAGTGACAAACTTTCGATTTTCTAGGACACGATCGCGTTTGAAGATCTATTCACTATTAAAAAGTCAAATAATCCAGTAAATCGAGATGAGTCGAATAGTATAATTATTTAGTAAATCTTATTTCCATAAACACTTTCAAGGAATTAGAATTAATTTCCTGATAGAACTACTGTGCACCTAAACTATAATCAATTACTGGTCATTACGCTTCTTGACATTATTCGAAAATGTTTGCAAAAAAAATTCTTATGTATAGTAGTATAGAGCATTTCATGAGCTACAAGCTTATATGCTTTACTTCTGCAATGATTTTTTAATGATTTATTGCCATCTTTTTCACTAATGATAAGTTTCCGTGTATTTAATAATGTCGATCATAGCAGATGTAATCAGGCGTGAAACTTTCTAAGAATTTTGCCCACAATTTAGCATTACAAGAACATACTATTTAGAATTTGTCCAAAAAGAACTTACATTGAGAAATTTTCACCAATTTTTACATCGATTGTCTGTTTTTGAATATTGTATGTCGACATTTTAATAATCAAAAGTCAATTCTAGCGCAAAATAAATGGGATACTTTGAGTCAGCATAACAAACTCAGTTGAATAACTTATGTTATGACAAAATATGATTCCGCCAAAATTCGAACAGTATTCCCCTTCCGGAATTTCTTCCTGTAGATCTTCATGAGTTCAGTTTTGGCGGAAAAAATATTTACTGAAAATATAAGTTATTCAACTGAGTTTATTATACTAATTATAACCATCATTCTTATTTTAACACCAGAATCGACTTTTGTTCATTAATATGTCGACATATCATATTCAAAAAAGAAAATCAGTCTAAAAATTGGTAAAGATTTCTCAATGTAAGACAATCTCAGGCATCATGAAGTGTTTTTTGGGAGAAATTCTAAACAGTATATTCTTATAGTACTACATTGTGGGCAATTTCTGAGGAAGTTTCACGTTTAATCACATCTTCTCTGGTCCACACTATTAACGACATAGAGTTTTACCATTAGTGAAAAACGTTGTTAAAACCATTGAAAGATCACACTTTTCCTATTAAAGATAGGATAATCGAAAAATTTAAGTATATGAACTTGTAGCCAGTGAAAAACAGCATAGTTCAACATTTTGTTTTAGAAATACTTTCGAATGACACCATGAAGCACAATGATTAGTAACGAACCATAAATGTAGTGCATGATTGTTTATTAATACATCGACTCTGATTCTTTTAAAGTTTTACGTAAATACAATTTACTATATATAGTATTTGATGCTTTTCCACTTATCCTACAACATGGCATATTTCATATGTCAATTGTCAATATGCCATCAAATCTGACAGAATCCTTTCCAAACTGTTTGTTTAGTATTTAGCATGGAAAGAATGAATCCAGAGAATTTATTAAGTATAATTTTCCTGGATGCACCATTTCACCCTAAATCTAAATCAAACATTTTCGAAATTTAAAGGAAATGAAAGAACTGGCAATTCTCTCGTAATAAATTATTGAGAAAAAAAATGAAAGACGCATATTCTCGATCAACTGTTCACACTCTATTTAACCCTAGATAAAGAGAAGAAAAGAAAAAATCAGCTTCCGCTTTAATTTATGCATTTCCGACATAATAATAAAAAGAAAATTTCTTACATCGGCTAAAAGTGTTTTTGTTTGATCAAATTTTAATTGTTGAAGTATTTGAATACCATTTTGATGATTAAATGTTTGACTTAATGGTTGTAAAATTTTAATAAATTGTCCAAATGAAACAATACCAAATTGTCCAACATCTAATAAATTTAATGTTTGTCCAAGTAAAATTAAAGATTCTAAAGCTAAACGTTTAACTTGTAAATTATCCATAGATTGACTATCATCAATAGCTAATATTAATTGATATTGTCTTTTTGATGGTTTTAAACGTCTTAACCAAATTCTATCTTTACGAAAATCTGATGCTATATATGGAATAATACGTTTCATATTTAAACGTTTTCCTGTTCTATAATCTCCTGAATATTTCGTACGTTGTGTTGGTTCAAGTAAAAGACGAAGTTGTTCACATAATTCAAAAACATATGGTTGTGTTAAATATTCTAATTGTGTCCAAAGTTGTTCAGCATCATTTAAATTTTCCTTTAAATTTTCCTTTAAATTTGTATAAAATTCTTCTAATTGATATTCAATTTGTTCAGTTAAATTATTATTTAATGATTTAACATTAGATACATAATTAAATTGATGTTCAACTGTTGTTGTTGATATATAAGGTTTATCAATAGAATTAAATTCATTATTTAGTTCATTTGTTTCTGATGTTAATGATGGTTGTTGATGAATTGTTGATGTTTTACTTTTTTGTATTGGTTCTTTTTGTAATTTTGATGTTGAAGATTTATGTTCTTCTTCTTCTTCTTCTTTTTGTTGTTGATTATCAATAATCATTGGTTCATTTTGTTGATTATCTTGTTGATTAAGATTTTTAGTTTGTTCTTCAGTAGCTGAATCAAGAATTTGTTTTTGTTGTGAAAAATCTTGAGGAATATTTTTTGCATGTGCATAAATTTGTGTTTGTTGATCATTTGAATTTTGTTCTAAACTAGGTAAATCATCTTGAATATTATTATTATCTTCAATATGTTCAATATCAAATGCTGCTTTTATATTTTGATCAATAAATGATGCTATTTCACTTAATGTACGTTGTTCATTTGATTGATTTGATGATTTATTAATATTATCTGATTGAATATCTTTATTTAATTCTTGCGTTAATTGATTTTCTTGATTAGATGATGATATTTGTTGAGTTTTAGAAGTTTGTTTTGATGATGATTCACCAGTATTTTGTTGTTGTTTTTCTTGTTCTTCAAATGTTTCAGCATTAGCAAAAGTTTGTTGAAGTTCAGTTTGTTGATTCATTGAATCAATATTTGATGTTTTATCTTGTGTTAAAGCTGATTGTTCTAATTGTTGTTCAGGAAGATTTTCTGGAAGATCATTTATTTGATTTTGAATTGAATTTGGATTTTCATTATTATTATCATTAGTTTCTTCTTCATCGGATTGTTCATTTTTATCAAGATTTTCTTCATTTTTTAAATCATTATTTTCATCTTCAGGAAGATTTAAATCATTTAGATTTTCTTCTTCTTTTTCATCATTTCCACCATCTAAATCCATATTTTCTGGAAGTTCTAATGCTTCTTGTTCTTCAGAATTTAAATCATTTTGTGTTGTTTCAGGTGGTTGATCTTCAATATTATTATTATTATTTATTTCAGGATTTTCATCAATTGATTCTTCATTTAAATCTAATTGATCATCTTTAGCTGATAGACCATCATGTTCTCGTTTATCTTTACCAGTTGATTTATCAGTTTCATTTTGTTTCTAGACAAGAAATTAAATATAAAAAGAATTAAGATTTTTATTTGCATAAAATTATAATAGATTTTATTGCGTATACAACAGACAAGAGAGGAAGGGTGTCTCTTCAACATTGAAAAATTTTCGTTTTCTTTTTAGTGTTTTATTGGTTGTTATTTATGCTGATTCATTCTTTAATAAATTCAATTGACTTTAGCAAAAATCTTTTTATTGATTTCTTCAATTATTGACTTTCTCTTAATATTGACGACCGCGGAACATCTCTGTATACAAAAACGAGTATGAATCCATGGGGGCAGATATGAAATCCTTCCTTTTTCTAATTCTTCAGTAATTGAATTAAATTTTTAAATTTGATAAATCTGACAGATTCGGATATATATAGAAAAGAAAATGTCATTTGAGATTTAATTGTATTTTAAATTTTTCTTGAATTTATATTCTGTTATTAGTTTTTTAATTAACTTTTTCTAAAGAATTGATAAAGCCGATTATGTAAATAGAAAAAAAAAAAAAAACTTGTTGACCCAAACCAATATGTATTTAGGCTTATGAATTTCAATTTACTATTAATACATATCACTTATGAAAGATATTAATCATAATATATTTCTGTCAATGTTAAAGAAAATAAAAGAACAACTATTATACTGATTTTGCAATGAAATTTGATCTCACGGTTATGTTTGTTGAGATATTAGTGTCGATCTATTAAGAAGAGTATTCGCTCGTTCTGGAGAACAGACTTTGATATATTCAGAGTAGATAGATTTTGATGAATAGAGAAAAAGTTCTCATATGCTGTATTTCATGAGATATTGGGATCATAATAGTGAAAAATGACTTTTCCGAAATGAAAATTTTCCTAAAAGCATTAAACACAGTTTAGGGTGGATATGTTTTTTGTTTTTTGTCTTTCGAATAGAAAAGTCTACATCCATGTTAAATAGTGTGCAGTGTATACGAAAAAAGTTTGAACTCGTTCGGACATATTAAGCCGAAGAAATGTGTATGTTTCAGAATCTCTTTTCATGAAAAAGTTAGTTTTAAGAAAAATGTGATTCACTACTTTCATTGTGTAAATTTGAATTTTTAATATTTAAAAAGAATTTTCGGATTCTAAAACGCATTTACTAGATAGATAATAAATCAGACTATACAATAGCCACGAAAAAAAAAATTAGGCCACAATAGGGAGTTTCAGATTTCTATCCCTATACTTTTTAGATCATGTTTCAAAAACAAAAATTATTTAAGTTCCCTCCTCTCTCAAAAAGAAGTCAATTGTCGTCAAAAAAAACGATTTTCTGTTTTCTTCTCTATTTATGCTTTTTTGGTTGAGTATCCTCGAATTTTCAAGGAAGTTTCATATAGTCAACCGGGTTTTTGTTGTTTGAAAGACCTCATCAAGATGTAGAATATTACAGAGTAATATGTTGTTTCAAATAAAAATAAAAAAAAAGGAAAGTTTCTACACAGAATTCTCGAATGAGCTATTTTTGATCCTTATTAGTTAAATATATCTTTCGAAAACATCATAGCATAGAGCGATTTGATGCAATTTGAATGTACCTGGAACAATATTGATTTTTGATTGGAAAGATTTAAAAATAATAAAAACTTACTTTTTCATCTTCTTCTTCTTCTTCTTCTTCTTGTTCTTCTTGTTCATCACCCCATTTTTTTTCATCGAAAATTTCTCCTTGTTCATCTTCATTAACATCTCCCATTTGATCATCAATATTATCATCATTTGATTCACTTTCATTATCATTTTCTTCATCATTTTCTTCGTTTTCTCTTTAGAAAGAAAGAAAATAATTAATTGAATTTTTTTTATTAAAAAAGAAAAGAAAAAAAGAAGTCTTACCCATTTGATGGATCTTCCATAGGTGCTTCAAAATCAAATGAAACTTCAATACCATTTTTTTCGTCATCAACATTTTGTTGTTCGTCTGTATTTTGTTCATTATCTTGTTGTTGTTCAGGCATTTTAGCTTCATCTAATTGATCTTCTGTTTCAATTTGATCTGAAACATCTTTAGCATCTTTATCAATTTGTCCATCGCCCATTCCCGATGGTCCACCTTCAGTTTTTTGTTCTTGATTATTTTGATCTTTTTCTGTATCTTCTGGTGGCATTTCAAAACCATCACGTAATAATGTTATAAATGTATTACTTAATGATAAATAAATTTGTGATGTACAATGATGATAATAAACAAATCGATATAATAATTGTTCACTTAATAAATGAATATCATTATAAAATATAATTGATTTTGATGTTATTGTTTTTGAAATTAAATTTGTTAAATAAGAAAGATCTAATCGATTAATATAATTATTAATATAATTATAATAATGAACAAGCCACATTGATGATGATGATGAATTAGATGATGAAAGATTTGAAGAAAGTTCATTAAGAGATAATATTAAATGTTTTCTATAACGTTTTAATGGTTTTAATGTAACTGATGAAACTGATTCTAAACGAAAATATTTTTCTTAAGTTTCAAGATATTTCTTAAGACAAAATGTTTAATGAAATGTTAATTAGATAAAAATTTTCTATAAATCGAACGTACATTTAAAAGAAGAGAAAAAGATTTTTCATTTTCATTATTTATTCAAAGGAATAAAGAGATGAGTTCAGGGTCTTTACGTGACAGTAAAAACGATAAGAGATAGTAAAGATTAAAAAGCCTTTTTCTTTGTAAAGAAAAAAAAAAAAAGTCAATAAGAGTTTCATGTGTAGTTCCTCTGTAAACATAATCTAATCTTCTTATTTAGACAGTTTGATATCGGAAGTGAATTTGATGAAGGAAAGTTCAAACCATTGTTTAATAGATTATGATCAAAGTAACGGACATCCTGATATAAGAATACAATGTATGCTATACTTATATTCTTTGAATATTCTTTAAACGTTAAATAGAGAAAAATATTTGTTTACTAGAAAACAGTACGAACTATTTACTTCATATCGTTGTTTTAATCTTTTTTTCTATTCCTTAGAGAAAAACAATGTTTATCTATTATTAATATTTGGTTTCAAAGAAAAGACAATGATAAAAATAATCTTATCAGAATAGAAGATGTTCAAAATCAATCTTGACATGACTTATAATAATAAAATATGGTAGAAATGTAGGTTAATATGATGAACTCGGTCTCAATTATTTAAGTTGATGACAAGTTTTGATATGTGACAACTTTTCACAGTAAGACTTTGATAACTCAAGCATAGAAGAAACTTTTGACAAGATAATAAGCTTCTTATTGTCATGGGTTGCCGCGCTTCTAATGAGAAAAACCATTATACTCTATAACTTCTTGTCAATTCAAGTGATCAGAATTGAACTAGTACAAAGTGGGCAATTTCTAGAGGGCATATGGACATGGCTTATTTCATGCTAAAATCGCATTTTTTTCACAGAAATACTAGTTTCTATCCGTCAGAAAACAATCACTGATAAAAAAACGTGAAATCCAAAAAATAATTTTTTAATGAAAAATCCCTGAGGGGAACCCTTGCCCTAATTTTTTGTCAAAAAACTTTTTATTTGAAAAGCTACTAAATCATACATCATTCGATGCAGTTTTCTGCGCTGCTTCTAAATATGATATTTGTATTGAATAAGAACGTCTCTAAAGCCGAGAAAAATTGAAAATACCTTAAAAAAACATGGTTTTTTCGAAAACCTGCTGTAGGACTCACGAAAATTTGTGCTAACTGTGGTTATGGATGACATATAGGAGAACATTCTACCAAAGTTTGAATAAGTTTTAAATTCGGAGCTGGAGGAGGCGCTCATTTTACTAATATAACCGTTCGGAAAATCACTGTGGAAAAAAAAGAAAATTTTTTTCTCAGAAATCTTCAGTAGTAACTGACCACTTTATTTTATTAATCAGTAGCAGACATTATGCAAATTTATAATATATATTGTTTTTGGTTGTCACTTCAGTGGATTCTGTGGAAAAAAAATGTGTATTGTATAGATGGTCCTATTTTCAGGTTGATGTTTAATTATTTTTAATTATCTCATTTTCCACTCTACTTGAACTTCGTAGTAAAACTTTTAACGCCATTAAGTAGTCCATAGT